CAGCTGATTCTGGGATTCTATGAACACACCAGGAAAACAACTGCTCAGAGTCTGTACCAAGAGCAAGGAAGGACCTGGGACTGCTCCCGAGAGCTCTTTCTAACAAACTGAACAGCCCAGCACTTCTCAGGGGCAGCTTGAAACATTCTCTGCCAAGGAAATGTTTCACCTCCTGTTTCCTCCAGGAAATAAAGTCAACTGAAGGCCTGTCCTGCCCCCACATGGCTGGAGATCCCCCTTCCACATTCCCACTGCATGAAGGGGAGGCTTTTCCAGCCCCAGCCATGGGTTTGGGCTCTGCCATCGCCCTGTGAGTACCCAGATCCTCCAGCAGGAGCGAGGGACCCCCCAAATCCCACGGATGCTCTGCCTGCACCCACAAACAAAAATGGAACTTTGCCACCCAAGACCACCAGCAGGACTCAGCCTCTTTCAAGGTTTTCATTTCCAGCCTCCATGATCGTCACCCAATACCTGGTATGTTTCCACAGGTCTGTTTTCCATATTTAAATCCCAGATCTTCACTGACAGGTAATCTCTAGTCATCATATATCGACCACTATGGCTAAATTTGACATCAGATATGGAAGAGATGATTTCAGAGAAGAACGATCTGTTGCTAGGATCTTCTGGCTCTTCAAACACTGTGTAAAAACGAGACAGGCATTTCAAGAGTAAATTTGTGTCTCTTCAATTCAAGATACACCCAAATTAGATTAACGTTTCCTCAACAAGCTTTCCACACTGGGCTACTCTGTGTTATATAAAACAGCTTTAGGGAGAAACCCTTATAATACAGTTGCCATACTCTGAAATTCATTTCACTTATCAAGGTCAGGTTCTAAACAAGCAAATTACTTGTTAATATGTGAAATCTTCACTCATTTGTGCAAGATTTCCAGCATCAAGTGGTATTTGACTCTGAAGTCTGCAGTGTCTACACTGACTCCCCAGCTGAAGCTGCTACTCATCTTATTTGAGTGCTGTGTCCAGCTCTGGGCCCTCAGCTCAGGAAGGACATGGAGGGGCTGGAGCAGGGCCAGAGAAGGGCAACAAGGCTGGGGAAGGGACTGGAGCACAAGTGCTGTGAGGAGAGGCTGAGGGAGCTGGGGGGGCTCAGCCTGGAGAAGAGGAGGCTCAGGGGAGACCTCCTCACTCTCTGCAACTCCCTGCCAGGAGGGGGGAGCCAGGGGGGGTTGGTCTCTTTTCCCAGGCAACCATCAGCAAGACAAGAGGGCTGGGTCTGCAGCTGTGCCAGGGGAGGGTTAGGTTGGAGATCAGGAAGAATTTCTTTGCAGAGAGGGTGCTCAGCCATTGGAATGGGCTGCCCAGGGAAGGGGGGGATTCTCCATCCCTGGAGGTTTTTAAGCAGAGACTGGATGTGGCATCAGTGCCATGGGCTGGGAACCACGGCGGGGTTGGATCAAGGGTTGGACTGGATGATCTGGGAGGTCCCTTCCAACCCAGCTGATTCTGGGATTCTGTGATTCACTACTTTGGCCAAATACGAATCTAAATTTCAGATTTATTTAGATTTTGTACCCCACAGAAATCCAATATGAACACACCCCCACCCTCCAGCCAGATGTCCCACTGCCCATGAGACACTGCAAAGGGGTGAAGACTCACACTTTGAGTGTCTGTCACAGAGAGCTGAGGCCCTCATGTCGCAGAGGCGGATGGTGCCTTTACTGCTGCTGTACACGAAGGTGCTGCAGCTGTTGGGGTGGAACTCGGCGGCCGTGATCACCTCCGTGAGCTCCTCCATGTTGGCAGGCTTGATATCTACAATGTCTGCAGCACCCTGATAAGGAATCTGCTCTGCTCTGCACAAGGGATTTGGGATTTTTCAGCTTGAAATGTATTCAGCAAACCTCTGCCGGGCCTGAGGAACCCGGTCATAAACCGGGTAAAAGTTAAAATCTATTTGCCTGGAAAGCAAAATGGTAACATCACATTCTCCATCAGTTTGAAGTTAATTCTTTTAACAGCAAAACCTTCTTCATTTCTGCCCCACTGCAGCAGTAATTAGTTCTGTGCTACGGATTATTGCCCAAGTTTTTCATACAGAACTTAATTTTGCTTAAATTCTAAGTACACTGTTACCTTATAATTAAAAACATAGCACAGGTTGCCCAAAGAAGCTGTGGCTGCTCCATCCCTGGAAGTGTCCACGGCCAGGTTGGAGCAACCTGGGCTAGTGGAAGGTGTCCCTGCCCATGGCAGGGGGTGGAACAAGGTGATCTCTAGGCTCCCTTCCAACTCAAACCATTCCATGATTTCCTTGTGCTCTCCAAAAGCCCCCACAATTACCAAGGAGAAATAACATGGAGAAAACATGCTACACAAAACACTTCTCATGAAAGCAAATAAAATCCAACAGTTTCCTTGTTCCCACCCCACCAAACAATGGCCAAAGGATACTAAAACTCCTGTCTGTGATTTCTAGGTGCCACAGGTTGATCCGCAGGTCGTCTGCAGACAAATACGTTTCATAATCACTATTGATGGAGATGGAATTGATGTGATACGTGTGAGCATTGGCAAATATCCTCCGGGGACTGGCTTCCACCATGAGGTCCATGGGCCTGAACACTGGCACCTGCAACACACACAGCAAGGCAGGTTGGAGGGGTGAACACACCACCAACACCAGCACCTAAAATCACAGTCCTTCCACACACCCAGCTGGCTGAAATATCTCAAAAGTACCTCAGAAAGTAAATATTTCTGTGGTATCACAGAAAAATTAAGGCTCTGATGGGGCAGTTACTCCCTGGTCTGTGCTGGGGGAGGGAGAGAGGAATGACCTGAACGTGGCCGGTCCAGAGTGAACGACTCACCCGTAGTGTTGTAACTGTAGTAGGATCCCTATACCGTCCATCTTCCTCCTTTAAATTATAACCCTCTGGTCTTTTGTCCCTTTCACTGATTTTCCATAACTTTATTGTTTTATCTGAAATGAAAACAGGCACAGTTTTAAAATGGGGGCTGTGGCAGAGACACCAGTTGTCACCGCTGATGCCTTCGAACAAGACAAGGCCGCCCACGAGCACCAAAAAAGACAAAAATGCTGCTTGGGGAAAACAAGGCAAGATAAAAAGCATTAAAAAACCTCCTCCACGGTTTGTTCTTTTTATAAGAGAAGTTAGAGCCAAGTTTCATTTAGGACAGGGATTGTCATGAATAATGTAAGCTCTGGCACAGGGACTCACACACATGAAGGTGCTGAGCGGTGCTGGGTGAAGCCCCTGGGCTATAAAGCAACCAAATCCCAAATCCCCCACCCTGTGCCCAGGGAAGCCAAAAGAGCCACAACCCCAGATACTTGCATTTAAACCCAGCTTGATTCCAGCCTTTTGGCAGTGGAGAGGGTTAGACCCAATCCTAACAGCAAACCTACAAAATAACACACGACCACGGCAAATAAAGTCACAACTTACCATTTGTAGACAATAAAAACTGAGCAGCATTTTTCTGGGGTAACCACCTAATTTTGTTGATCTTCTCTTCAATTTCTAAACTTTTCAAGTAGTCAAACTCTGGTTCATGGCTTTGAAAGGTACTGTAAACATTGTATTCTCCCCTACTGTGAGACTGGGTTTTGTTCTAAAAAGAGAATTAAATGATCAAGTTACATATGCAATGGACAGAGTATGCTTTGCAAGGCTGATTTATTTTAACAAGTCTGTAGAATAGACAAACACAGGATTATCTCTCTTGCAAGAATTTGATTAGGGTTTCTACTATTTTGGCTAAGAAAACCTCAGAGAAGAAACAGTTATTGCAGCAACTTGTGATTCCTAAAGTTTCCAGAAATTCCCCTAGGCCACGTGAATATCCAGCAAGTTCTCATATCAATTCCAAGAAGCTGAATATAAAAACTATTTTTGCCTACACATTTTCTTTACAAACAAACAAACAAATAAACAAACAAAAATCTTCATTATTCTCTCACATCTTTAATTTTTCCACCTTGGCTTTTTTAAGGAGAATATTCCTTCCCCTACTACCCAGACACACATATGGCAGATCTACTCAGTGAGTACGTTCAGCTCTCCAGGCACACTATGGAAATCCCACATGTCACCTCTAAATTTGTACCAGCAGCTCCACTATTCTGGTTTATAATCCCCACGTTCCCTGAGAGCTTCTAAACTGTTTAAGAAGCTTTTTTCTTCCTCATTCTAGAAGGGGAAAAAAAAAACCACCTTAACACCTCTGCTGAATACATCTCTGACGCTGGAGTCACCCCTGCAAGGTGGAAATGCTTGGAAAACCAAAATCCACCCAGATTTGCATGATCCCCTCTCCAAAAGCTGTGGTTTAGACTGCACTGCATGGACTGAACCTTCAATTCCCTGCCATGGATGATGGAAAACTGGAGCCATTTGTGCCCCAGCGCTCCCCAGGGGCACCTGAACTGGGCTGGAGCTGAATTCAGTGATTTATTCCTGTCCCACCCACTGCAGGGATTGCACCATCAGATGCCTTTGCTGTGATAGCTGCTCTTGACTGGGGACTTTGCTCCTTCCTCCTCCTGTGTCTCATGTCCTCTGCTCCTTTCAGCCCTCAGGACCTCCCCCAAACAACACATCTGTCACATTCCTCCCATGGTTTTCTGCTGCTTCATCCCCTGAGAGCTGTCAGGAATTCTGACACTTCAAAATAAGCTGAGGGGGGAGGGAAAAAGTGGACAAAATGCTTAGAAATCAAATTTGGCACTGGAATTCTGCACCACACCTCTCCCTTCCAGGCTTTCCCACCCTGGAGAACGGAAAGGACTTTGTTCCAAGTCTCAGTTAGAACTAACAAGTGGAGCTGGGTCGCTGCAGGGAAAGGAAATCCATTGTGCTGTAGGAAATGCCTTAGGAAATTCAGGCAACTTTCCTTCAATTCCATGCTTACCATAATGATGGAGGCCTAAATAGTCTGTGTGTGTATTCTAGTAAAACTCCACAGGAGCAGAATAATACCTAAAGCCAATAATATATGAAATCCATCCTGGGGAGAAAAGCAAAATCTAAAAACTATCTCATGGTGCTCAAAGCAAAAAAAATCAAACAAGAAGAGGTGTTGGCCCCAGTGCCTGATGTTAAAATGCAACTGAGGTAATTACAGGCTGCCCACGCAAATTCCTGCCCAGTTTCTGTGAGATCCACACTCATTTCCTGCCTGGTGCTGCTCTGATGTCACTGCCTGCCACATTCCAGCCCGGAGGTGGCACCACTTTGGCAGTGGGTAAAGTCCCACAGGTTTGTACAGCTCTGTGCTCTGGCAGTGTTGCAGGTGTGGCCTGCAAAGCCCTGGAATGCAGCAGCACAGAAAGGGGCACAGAAATCCAAGTTAAATACTCGTATTTTAGGTACTTTCACATATAAAACCTGCTCCAGACAGGTGTGTGTGTGGCAGAGCTAACTACAGGCAATCAAGTCCCTGCTGTCCATTCCCTAAAAAGTCCAGCAGTCAAATTATGCCAAAAATAATCCTGTGCAACTTAATGTGCCAACCCAGGTGGTTCTTCCCACAGCTGGATCCCAGATCAGAAGGATGGGAGCCAGGGGTTCCACACCAAAAAACAAGGAGTGCCTCAGACACAGCTCACTGGAACAGGCAATGAGCTCTGAGTTACATTAAAACACCCTTAAAGGAATCAAGTTAAAACTCAAAAGAGTTGAAAAATAATTAAAAAAAAACAATAGAAAGAAAACAACAAAAAGCCACCAAACACCGGAGGAGCTGGGCAGGGCAGGGCAGCCCCCACTAGATGTCAGCACTGACCGAGGGGATTTACTGGGATCGGGAAGGTGCCATTCCCACGGGCCAGCACGGACCAACTTCTGCTGGGAATTCCTGCGGGTTGGGATTTTTGGGATTGAAACTGAATGAACCACTAAGGAAAAAGCAACAGCCTGACGTTTCTGGGCAGGGGGGTGACATCTCCCTGGAATATCCTGCATTATCCTCTCCCTGGAATACATTCTAACCAAAACAACTTCCAACCTCAGCCTTAGTTTAAAAAAAAAAAACCAGGCACTCCAGCTCATCTTCTCACCTCCAACATGGGATTAGAGCCCAAAGATCAAAGGAACAAGGGTTAAATGAGAAGATCCCTTTGCTGTTATGGTTATGTGAGTTTACCTGACTGATATCAGAATGGAAAAGGACATCTGAGGTCACAGCCACACACTTGCTTAAGGGTTACTTTTAATTTCCCCAGCTCCAGTGAAATCTGAAATCATCATCCCAGCCAGGCAGAGCCATTGGAAGAACCAACTTCAGCTCCCTCAAGGCCCTTCCTGTCCTACCCCCACTTTCTGGTTTTCACTTTACACATTCTTTAGACCACATGAAGAGTGTATAAAATAATTTCTATTCCTGTCACAAAGTTCTCAATCATTTCTTTACTCTTAAATGTCATTATTTTCATGACTCCTGACACAGACATTCACTTTGTCTACAGTGTTTTATAAAAGCATGCTCCTTTTCTTTAAGAAGGGAATGGATAAGAACAGAACATTCAATATGGTGTAATTAGACAGACTCACCTCCTGCTCCTGCTGAAAGATGACAACTCTCCCTCCCTTGTCTCCTGTTGCTAACAACTCTCCAGAATGGTTAAATTCTACTGTAGAAATTATATCCGCTGCAGAAAAACAGAAATAAACCCCCCCAGTTGATAATTCTTCTCATTACCAAGTGACCAAGAAAACTATGACAAGTGTAAGAGAAAATCCATACTTTAAGGATATTTGTATTATAAAATGCAAATCATTTCTTTTAAAATAGAGCAGTCATTTTTTAAACTTTACATTTGAAAAGCAGTAAGAGTTCACCATGCTAGAGTTAAAGGCTTACTGTTCTGCATTACTTGGTTTTTAAAGGTTTTATATCTTGTTATATTTTCTGCTATGACTGTACTTCAGCTGTACCAGCACAGAGAAACTGTGTACATAAATATTCCTACCTTTATTTTCCCAGTTATTCCTGATAGAGGATTTAAATACAATCATTACCCACATGATCTTAAAGCATCTTTTTTTTTTTTTTTTAAGGATTCTATACACATTTGACAACTTAAGGGCAAAAGGTATCAGGGTAGAGAAGTTCAGACATCAGTGTCCAAGGAACAAACAGGTACAGAAAACTGGGAAATAAACTCATCAGTCTCTGAAAAACTTAAGTATTTATTCCGGATGAGGAAAGTTTGCATGACCACAAGTATTTTTATCAGTGCTAAAATTAAACAGTGATATACACAGACAAGAAGAGCAATCCCTAATATCAAACTGAGCTGTTCCCACAGCAAAAAGGACAAGTTACAATCACAATTCCCATTTCCAGGTGCACACCTTGCCCCTCGTACTCTCCAGTACAGAATCAGAAGCCAAACCATTTTTCAAACACCAGACTGCAACACAACAATATAAACCTCATTTCCTGCAGGAGAAACTACCTGAGAGTTTTTCCACACACAAGTCTTCAGGGGACTTTACTCCCACAGCAGTCAAACGGAGATAAACAGTATTTCCTACAGGGTGGTTTCCTTATATAATCTCCATCTCAAAACATTTCATTCACAGCATTTTAGAGTTACAAAAGGTTGGTATCTGCTCAACTTGGAGCTGAACCACAGCTCCACTGTGCCCTGTTATGTCCCATTAAAGCTTAAACTGCCCCAGCCACCTCCTGCCGTGGTTATCTGCTCAAAAATGGATTTAAATTCCCCAAGAACACGGAGTTAAGGATAAAAATATGATATCACCTTGCACACAGATAAAGCAGGGTCCAGATCTCACACAGAAAAACTGGGATCTGGGGGCACATCCTTTCCCCCTGGAAGGCAGTGGTTACCTCAGCCAGCCCTTCATTTGTCATGTATTTGTGCCCCAGATGAAGTGATTTCTCTCCCATCTGTGGGGCTGCAGAGCACTCAGCTGAAGAGCTGCCATTAAATATGGACCTTTCACAGGTGAAAGGGGTATAAAGAATTAATCAAAGCCAGCAAAAGAATGAAGTGCAAACAAAAAATCTCATTTAGACTATGCCACACAATGCAAACCACATCCTTCTCTTTTCCAGTGGTAACTGTAATTCCTGTAGGATTGTTTCAGTCCTGCAGCACCACAACAGCAAAGGGGCATCCCCAGCCTTGCTGCCTCCTCCCTGTGTCCCTGCTGTTTGTGCTCCAGCCTCCAAGTGGGAGCTGCAAACACGGAGCTGCTCCACATGCTGCTGAGTGCTCCTAACCCATCCCTTCCCAATGCTGATCAGTGCTCCTAACCCATCCCATCCCTTCCCAACACTGCTGAGTGATCCTAACCCATCCCTTCCTAACCCATCCCTTCCCAACACTGCTGAGTGCTCCTAACCCATCCCTTCCCAATGCTGATCAGTGCTCCTAACCCATCCCTTCCCATGGCTGCTGAGTGCTCCCAACCCATCCCTTCCCATCCTGAGTGCTCCCAACCCATCCCCTCCTAACCCATCCCTTCCCAAGGCTGCTGAGCGCTCCCAACCCATCCCTTCCCACTGCCCAGAGTGCAGGGGAGGGGTATTTAGGGGAGCAGCAGATCTCCAGTGTCCACTGTCACCACCCCCTGGCCTCTGGACACATGGGGCATTCATTTCAATGCCCTTTTTCCCCAGCAGCAGCATGGGAGATAAAGAACCATTAACAAGCCCTTCTGTGATGCCACCCCCCTCCCTGGACACGGTGACACAGCCCCATGTGCTGTCAACACTGCCACAGCTCCCCCTGCCCTGCACCTCTGGCTCTCTGCTCCCCTCAAGCACCTCCAGACACCTTGGACACCAAGATGCCCCCGTGACACTGCGAGTGTGGAGGTTTTAAAGCACCACAGGGCAGCAGCAAACACACAAAATTAAGGTTATGATTCTGACAGAAACAAAAAACAGGGCAGAAATGTGTATTTCCATTCTTGCAGTGCACCTGCACCAAGTCTCTCCCTCTTGCATCACTTGGGTCCCACAGCTCAGGGGTTACTACAGCACTTACAAATACTTCTTTGCACAGATCTATACATTTGGCCTTTGGTCCCACATAAATATCCCTTTATAGCACTTACTGTTGTAGAAACACTTCTGAGACTACTAAAGACTTCCAAATAATGGCTTTCAGTGACCTGAAAGCAAATGGGTGGCAGGGTGGGAATCACCTGCACAACCTGAAATCCATTTATGAGGGAAAATGTTTTGCATCAGGTCGAGCAAAACACTCTGAAAACACAGAGCTACTACACAGCTGTACCCTGACCTCAAAGAAATGGAACTCTACAGCCAAATCAAGCCACTGATCCCCAAAATCTCAAACTGCCAAGAGAGGCTTTGGTCTCTGAGCCATCAGCACATGGAGACAGGGCAGAGTCTGCTTTCCCTGCAGTCATCCAAAGCTCCTGACAGCCCTCCCAGACACAGCAGCTACAGCCCAGTGAAGGTTTCTTTTCCTTCTGCACATCATCTGTATTTTCCCAACCTGCTCTAAGCTTTTTATGTATCCCTTCAGTGAGACATCTTCACTTTTGAAGTGCTCCGACAAAAATCAGACCCACCAGCAAGGATCAGACACTTCACTGGGTTCAAGCACGACTGGATTTGTCCATGGCAGACACAGAGGCAGGAATCTGAGGAACCAAAGGAACTAAAACAAGGGGACAGGGAAAGGGAAGGGGGAAAGACACTTCTCTCAAAGCTTAAGTAAGGCCCTGAGGCCACTGAGCCAGTACAGTGGGAAGGTGACCAGTTCAAAGGAAGAAAAAGCAAATTCTGGTGTTCAAAGACAGATGAATAAAGGAATCCAACAGGAATAAAGGAATCCAACAGGAATAAAGGAATCCAACAGGAATAAAGGAATCCAACAGGAATAAAGGAATCCAACAGGAATAAAGGAATCCAACGGGAATAAAGGAATCCAACGGGAATAAAGGAATCCAACAGGAATAAAGGAATCCAACAGGAATAAAGGAATCCAACAGATCTCCAATGCCTTTTGCCCTGTTAAAAGCCATGTCTGAAACAAGAAGAACTTAGTGACAGGTATTCAGTGACCTTCCCCACTGCCCAGTGAGTGCAGAACCAGAACCACACACGCACTGGCACCAGTAAGATCCCCAAATATCACAGCAAGGGTTGGGCTGAAGTTTTATTCCATGGAAGAAGGGAATAAAACAGCTCCATCAATCCAAACAATACTGTAATCCAATGACTTGGTTCCAGAAGGCCCATCACAAACCTGAAAAGCAATTCTGTATTAAATTTGTTTCCAATAATAGAATAAAAGGGATTTTATTAGTAGAGAAGAGGCTATCTATTTTAATGTACCATGAACTTTATATAAACTCTGCTTATAAAACATGCTTGGTAGGCAAAACATGTCACCTACTCTCCAGCAGAGAGTCAATCATGGCAGGAACAAAGAGAGTCTTTATTCCACCAGACCTAAAAGGTTTCTGTGCAAGTTTTGGGACTCATGTTGATCTGCTGCCTAAGCAGAGAGCAAGTAAATCAGTGTGTTTACACAAGTGGAGCAAACTCCTGATGTTTCCAAGGACTGAACAAAGAATTGTAGTCTTTAAAAAGCATTTTAGGACTTCTTTCATTGTTTATACACCTTCCCAGTGGCTCAAAATACCATTTCTGGAATTTTCCAAAGGAGCAACTCCAATCTCATCCATAATGTAGAGAAGTTACTTAGGATGGTAATTCTGTCCTGAAAACACAATTCACTGGCCTCATGCAGAGCCCACTTCCTCAGTTTGCCAGCTCTAAGGGTAGAAGAAGCTTTTTTGATCCAACTAAACATCGACTGATCATTCCAAGGATACTTCAGAAACTGTATCCAACGGGAAACACTAAGAAACCCACTTTTAGGATTACTGTTAAAATCTAAGGAAGCTCAGAAAGCCTCAGAGTGAGGAAGCAGCACAGGAATGGATGAATTCAAAGCACAATTGCTGAGCATAGCTGAGCCATTCTTCCTAGATTGTCTCCAAAGAGAACAAGAGATCTCTCCAGGAGAATCTGCACACCTTAAAGTGCCTGGAAATCACTTGTGGATTGTTCCTTTCCAATCCAGGGCGAAGCAAAACCTCCCTGCTTCAGGCTCCTGAACAGATGCAGCTTCCAAAAACTCCAGGTCAAGTCACAGCTAATGACAGAAAATTGTGCCTTTTGATTGGGCTTTCTTGTTTCCAGTAGTGATTTTGTTGTGGAGCTACATGCTTCATTGTTGGGGAAAAAAAAATACAATGAAAAACACTGGAGAGAAAACAAAAGCTCTTCCAAGGCTTCAAATATTTGAAGCAGCTACACAATGCACTGAGTCATCCCACCAGCACCCCATTGTTTGGGATTTGGATTTACTACATTTATCAGGAGCCCTGATATATCGTGTATTAATCTCTGAAGGTAGACAGTGAGGTGTTAATCTCCAAGTGAACAGGAAGGCTGTTTAAATAAGATAAAGGAAGAGTGACCACACATGTGTGAGGCAGAGAAGAGCTCCCAGCCCAGGGTGCCACAAGTGCACACTCCTGGGGAGGAGCAGGACAGCCAAAGGGCAGCCACTGCTCGGTGCTGCTGGCATAAAAGAAAGCACCCTCTGCATTCCAGCCTCATCCCTAATTT